TTTCAGGGAAATTAAAATTCCACTTGGCACAGTTAGCTAAACTTCGGTATAATGGTTCTTTTTCCAAGATGGACAGACTGTAGATGGTGTTCTAATAGACAGAAGTATTTAAGAATTACAATATAGAGAAACAGAATGTAGTACATCATATGAGTTAACACAATATAAGTATGTAACATGTAAGTAAAGGGCATACGAGTCAAGTCTATAGGACCTAAACTATTCAAAACTAAGTTTATGATGTGCATGTAAATTAAGTCATTGACTGGCCTCCACAGTCAGTGTGAATCTTTTGAACAGTCTATTTGAAAAGTCTTCATTCTCAGAATCACTTCCCATCATGATGTTATTAAATGCTTGTCAGTCTGAATCCTGATATTTTTCTTTCCGACCGCTCCTTTTCCTCATCGTCTGTCCTCCTCGTACTTCCGCTCTTCTGTCCTTAGCTCTCCTCCCCTCCTTTTCTGTTTTTCTCCACGTGTCCCTTCCCTCCAATGAGCCCTTCCCACAAGACTGTAAAGCTCGTTCTCCTCTTTCCTGTCCCCATTCATCCCCATTATTTGCTTCCCCCCTCATCTCCCACCATCACCTTCTCTCAGGCCTTCCACTGACTACTGTTAAAACGCTTCCCTCCCTCTTCTCTACACCATCTATGCCTCCATCTCTGGTGTGCGTACAGCGGATGGCAGCAGCCCACTCAGTCCTCACAGGGAGCAGAAGGTTTGTCCACTCCCACTCACGCTTTGCGTCATGGAACATGGAGAAATAGAGACAGAGGAGAGAGAACAGATGGGAGGAGGACACACTGGCTGCCTGTTTTATAACATTACTCCTAACAACACTGTGGTCATCAGTGGGACTGTGTAAAGTAGCAGGCTATTGTGGACTCATCAAGCAGGGCCTATATATAGACCTGCGCTGAATTTAGAGGAGCAGGAAGTCACAGAAATGGTGTGAGGAGGAAATTTAGTTTGGGAAAGGTTGGGAGATTTATTCATGATTTTGAATGGATTCAAAATGATGCTGTGAGACACATGCTTCCGTGTTTAGTAACATGATGATTTCAACAAGCATCAAAAAGAAGGAATCACTTCATTCTTTTTTATCAATGGGAAACCAACTTTTCAGACCATAAACTCACTCTCATGGACACGTTGCCTAAGTGTGGAAATCCAATCTGAGGGCTTCGCTATAACAAGATTTGTGTAACCATAGCAACATGATGCACATCAGTGCGTGACATCATAACTGACACAATCACTCCCCATTTACGCAAGTGGAGAGACAATTCAGACCATTCTGCTCTTATTATTCGAGCCAGCACCAGCTCCTACCTATGACTTAAATAACAAGCATTGCATAAGATTCTGGTCTCAGATGACAATTACAATAAAAGAAGATGCTCCATTGTACAAATTGCACTGGGGATAGCATTAAAACATGTTCAAATGCAAATACCGTTTACTGGATTTACACAGGAACAAAACAAAAATGAGATTTGTTGCGGCGTATAAACAACAGATTACATCTTCTGCCAGCAAAGCCTGAGCATGAACACTCAAATCTGGGTCGCAAGTGAAAGCAAACATCCACCCTGGGAGAGAATTCCCATGTTTGTCTCACAGAGATCTTAGACAGCTGGATTAAGATGTACAGACAAGTTGCCTTAAAATCTATGCAGAGAGAAGAGGCCAGTGTGTGATGCCATCAGGCAGTTTTTTCTGGATCAGCCCCACTGATATTGAACTGAATGTGTCAATGTGAGGACATGGTACCCAGGGTGGTGTTTTTTTTTTTTTTTTGTGGGTATATGAGATTGTCTTCTGGTTCAGTTCTGTTGTGTACATACAGATATGAGCATAGAAGCAAAATGAAAGTCCACCAAATCATCCACCTACAAATTGTCAGAGTTGTAGATCCACAGTTTAGCTGCTGGGTTCATTATGACCTTGAGCATTAAATGTGTGGTAATATTCAAATGTGGCTTTTTCCTTGAAACAGTGGTTGTCAGGCAATCAGTGGACTCTCCAGATAAGTAACCGATTTGACAAAGAAGACAGTATAATAGCTTCTCCCCTGTTAGCAGTTCTTCTGCTTTTATGCTCATGCATGGAAAGATAACTGCCAGACAAACAGAGGTGTCTCCAGGGTTGGTGCCAAGGTGCCCGTGTCTTGTCAAAAATCCCTTTCACCTAAATCTTACACACTGAACCTTAAACACATTCTTTCATGTTTGTTCAATCCAACCAAAATCCAAAGTGAAAAAAATTAGCATGCATATATGAGAGTGGTATTATATTAAACGAAAGCAAATAGACACATTTCTCCCAACAGAACTTTATAAAAAATAAATTAAAGCAGTTTTAGTTGACTGGTTACTAATTGCCTGTGAACCTAATGTGAACACTAAAGGCCACCTCACCATTAAATTGGTAGAATATCATAATTACCCCCTGAGGATGAATCCTACTGTTTTGGTTCTTGCAGGAATATTCTTCTTGGGTGGGCAGCTGTGGTGTAGGAGGTACAACAGCTCAGCCACTAACCAGAGGGTGAGTGGTTTGATCCCTGGGTTCTCAAGTCTGTGTGTTCTTGGACAAGATACTGACCCCAAATTGCCCCTAAAGACAGAAAAATAATTGTACACAGAAGCACTGTGTGAAGCATGTGTGTGAATGGGAGAATATGAATTGTCCTGTAAAGCCCTTTGAGTGTGTAAATACAGTCCATTTACTATTCTTCTTCCTCATCCACTGATATTATACAACTTTCCCAATACCTCACTTCACTGCACATGGTCAACCCTACAGCCTGAACACACAGGTTGTTTTTCTGCAGCATTTTCCTCTTGTGACTTTTTTTTCACCCCCTGCAGAGGGAGATCGAGTTCATGTGACTTCATCTCACTCAAGGCCTGAGTCACAACAAGCTCTAGTGAACCGAAGAGTTTAATCAATCACAACACTCTGCACTAAGATGTGTCACGGCTGCTGTCCGAGGTGGCTGATCCTGGGACCACCAGGGAAGAGGGAGCTGTCTGTGGTACTCATCATCATAGATCTGCTGACTGGTGAGATCCCTGCTGCGAATAAATGAAATCTTCTGCGGCCGTGGAATGTTAAGTTTTAAAAAGACGATGTAGTAGAAAATTCTTCTTGTGTCGTGTCCAAGCATCAGTTCATGTTAATCCTCTCTCTGCTGATATCAGTGCTGCTGTTGCCTCTGTTGCCCCTGAACTCTAGACCACCTTGCAGGGGCTGTATGACTAATCTTTCAATAATAACCCTGGTGTCTCAATGTTTGTGCAAAGGTCTGCTGTCACTTCCTGAATCCATGAAACTAGGGGGCGACAGAGCATTTGCCATTAGGGCCCCAGGGCTCTGGAATGAATTGCCAAAGGAAATAAAGTTGTCTGAGAAAGACATAATCCTGAATTGGCTTTGGATACCAGGCTATTTTGACCTCTTATCCCTTTATAATTGAAGTACTTAATTTAGAATTTTAACCCTATGTTATCTTGTTGTGCAGCATTTTGTAATTTGGGATGATCATTACATTATTTATTTCAGATAGTAATAAATAGTATCTCTTTCTCCACAATATTACAACCAACTCCATATGCGCTCACTGTACATTAATGATTACTGTAATAATGGTGTCCCCTTTATAAGCAGATGAAACTGTATCTGATGTAGAGATGCATGCTGGCTGTTCCTCCTTCACCCTATCACATATTTTAAAAGACAAAGCACAGATCACTTGTAATCGTTGGTACAGGTTCAGACGTGATGAGGTGACGGGATTGAAAACACTCCATAAAATCATGTTTTGTAACTTCTTCCGCCCCCTTTATCAAATAATGAATAGGTCACCGGGCTGACGCAAGCTGGGGAGTTGTGAACCAGTGTGTGGCAGCCTCTGAGTCTGTGTGTGAGTCATCGCTTCACCCACTGCGATCGGGTTGGTAGGTCAAAAGAACAACAAACTGTTGTGACAGCTAATAATGTGCGAGTTGGGGCTTATTTGGTGGAAGTGGGGTGTGTGTGTGTGTTTGTGCATGCACATGTGCACGTGTTTGTGTGTGTGTGTGGGGGGGCAGTTCTTGCTTTTCTATACTTTAGAGGAACAATTTTATTACAAAACCATTGTTGTGAGTATGCTTTGTACGGTTATCACAACTCAATGGGACATGGTTCCTAACTAAAAGGTCAAAATACACAACAAATAAATGTTTCACTCTGATCTTTGTTCAAGTGATCATTTTTCTGATGAGTTAGGTTTTAGTTAGGTTTAGATATGACTCATCTTTTCGTCATCACATTTTCCTTGCAGAGAGATGAGTAGTGGCGGACACAAACTCCTGCAGTAATTATCTAACCCTGTTTATACCTCAACTGGCCTCCACCATTGATTAATAACTAAACGCATGGTCGTAAGTTTGTTTCTAAATCATCCCATAAAAAATGAACTATGAATGTGAACTAATTCATTTTTATCTGCATGAACTGAACTTTGAACTTGTTCTTTTTAAGTTCGAACTGGCACAACACTGTCAGTACTGACAGGCAGAAGTAGTAAAACTGGATCATCACACTCCTGTGACCAATCCTGCTCGAGACTGATGTTAGGACTGCCTTTGTTATTAGCGTACAGACATTTATAAATGTATTTATTTATTCATACTTGATTTACTTTACTTAAAGTAAGAAAAACATTTTTTGGTCCTCCATAAAATGACAGGATGTTGATGTTTCTCTCGACTTTTTGGGAGTAGAAGGTCTCAGCATCCGTTGGTGTCTCAAACATCAATGCTTCCCCTCCATAGGTCACGTGTAAACGCGGGGGTAGAGTAGCCTGAATTTAATTCCCTTCCGATAGAGAGCTGCTTTGACGTTCTTGAAGGCTGCACGCTTCTTGGAGAGATTAGAGCTGAGGTTGGGGTAAAACCTCAGTGTGTTACCCTCGTACGTTATGTCGTTCAGCCTCACCCAGCGCAGAGCTCACTCTCGGTCTTGATATCTGTGGAAGGCGACGATGATGGGTCTGGGTGACTGGTCCATTTTAGGTTTCTGTGCCAGAGCCTGATGCGCACATTCCAGTTCAGGTGGTGTAGTTAAGAGATTCCCCATGGTGTCCTTCAAAAGTGTGGAAACAAATGTAACCATGTCTGAGTCCCCTTTTGGTGTCGCTATCCTCGGGCACATTTATAATACCAAGATTTACTCTCCTGTTGTGGTCTCCACCGCGGCGGCTCTCCTTCCCAGTGTGTCCACCATTTCGTGGATATTTGTTATAGATGCCTGGATAGGTGCCAGAGATGTTTTAATCAGACCTGCCATGTCCTCTTTGAGATGTTCTCRTTGTTTTACCATTTCTGTCGCCAACATCATAGCGAGGTCGTCGGCGTTAGCAACGTTCGCCATGTTAGCTTTTTTGCTACTTAGCGCTGGGCTGGGCTTCTTCGTCTCGTAGTCTTTCTTTGGCATGTTCCAGCAACAAAAAAGAACGTAGCAAATGAAAAAATAAACTTATGAACCTATTTCTTCGGTGCTTATTTGTGTATATTAAGGAGTTTTAAGTTAGTAATGGTCAAGTTCTTAGGGGACTCTCGTTCGCACATCCTGCTCCTACATGTGCCAAACCGGAAGCCCCACTTTAGCTACCTTAATCATTCAGTATAAGTTGTACAGAATATCAAATCAAAATAGCAACCAAGGTTTTGGTAAAGAGGAGTTTCATTTCTAGGAATTGACTCTCATCCATGCTGCTATTACATTATTAGGAGGTGGCAGGGTTGGGGGGGGTGCTCAGTCCCAAGGTTATTATAGTTTTGAAATTTTCATTAGTTTTTATTTGTATTTAGTTTTTCAGTTTGCTTATTTATTTCAGTTAAGTTTTTGTTAGTTCAACAAGTGATTTTATACTTTTAGTTTAGTTTTTATTTAGAGTAATCAACAAGTTTCAGTTTAGTTTTTATTTAGTTTTAGTTTTTCCAGGTATTAAGAGAAAGCCTTGACTTGTAGAAGCTGAAAAAGGATGAAACAATGTGTGACACCAAATATGGTTTATCAAGTCCTTTAATTTCATTCTTTAACCATCACCTGCAGGACAGGCAGTAATCGAGGGAGAAAACAAATCTGAATTTATCTGCAATTCAGTTTAGTTTGAGTTGGTTTTGCATTGTTCATTGTAGTTTTTATTTAGTTTTCTTTTTTTTTGTAATTGTCGTCTTTTTTTTATTTCAGTTAACTCAATTATTTTTTCATTGCTAGTATTAGTTTTAGTTTTAGTCTTAGTTTTCTTTAAACATAATAACCCTGCTCAGTCCTCAAACAGAGCTGGTGTCCTCTGATGTGGATCCACCGCCGTACCTCCGGTCGAGCTCAGCGTAAATAGCTTCACGGAGTTTTGGGTTGTTTTTAAGTTTTGTGAACATGATTGGTCTGGTCTTTCTCCGGATGAAANTATTAATATATATTTTTCGATAATGTGTTCATGTGCATTATTTCAAATACATTTCAAGCAAACAACCAAAAGGCAAAATAAAGAAAACAACTGCTACAAGCCTGGACGTTTATCTGGATGAACGTGTTTCTCTTAACTTCAGCGTTTCAAATGTGAGAAAATGAATTCTTGTTTTTACCTGAATAAACTAAATTCTATATGATTTCCATCAAAACCAAACCAGGTGAATTGAATTCAGTCAAAAGAATCAAGTATCAACACGTCGTCGTGACACCAACATTTACTGGCACTCCCTGTGTGTATTTGATGGGAAGGGCAAGTTCCCACTGAAATCAAAAAACAATCGTGTGATTTTAAACAGAGTCGTTTGTGGGAAAGAAGAAAATATACCAGCAGGAGAAACTGGAAGCAAAAAAATGATTAAACAAAGACCTAATTTTATTAGAAAACCTCAATATCTTCAGATTGGTGGCATGTTGCATGCTTTGGCTCAGCTCCAGTGGATAACTGTAAACAGCTGGACTTGAACCTAACCTTGTTCTAGACAGCGTTTCTTTCAGATATCAGTGGAGAGAGATGTTTGTGTAAATTATTTGAGCAGGGTAAACACACGCAGACAAACTCACCAATGACACTTTTAGCAAAAGAGGCACTTTTGAGGGTGGCCAGCCCCAGGTCTCCTATCTTGACGGAGCCGATGGGGCCGGTGATGAAGATGTTGTCGCACTTGAGGTCCCGGTGGATGATGGGAGGAGCACGCGTGTGCAGAAAGTGGAGCCCTTTGAGAATCTGTCGACTCCAGCGCTGCAGCAGCTTCAGCTTCATCTCCTTGAACCTTTTCAAGTACCTAAAACAAAGGAGGACGAGACTAAACACCCAAATCTGCCCAGAGCAAGAAGAGGAAGCTTTTTTTTGGTGCCTGACAATAATTCATCTCTTATTTTGACAGCCCAGAGGAAGTTTTAAAATCAGTTCGTTTCCTGAATCCTTCCCCAGAACAGTGTCAACTTCTGTCTGGTCCTTATTCATGACTTTAAAAGCGAAAGATGACGTCCACCGTGTGAGAAAAACTAATAACCATAAAAATGTCTTTTTTTTTTAAGGACTGCAGTTTAAAGGATTCGCAGACTCACGTTTTGAGCGTCCCTGACGTCATGAGTTCCGTCACCAGGATGATGCACTTGTGGCCCTTCACCGTCGACTTCCAGGAGTCGTGGAAGCGGACGATATTCGGGTGCTGCAGCCCCTTCAGCATCTCCACTTCCTCGCTGAAGCGTTGCCGCTCTGCCTTGGTCAGCTTGCGGGTCTGCAGAGGAAAAAAAAAACACATTTACATGAACATGACTGTTTTTTATTTTTTATTACATTTTTAGCATATCTAAAGAATGACTTGGACAAGTGTGAAAAACCTATCAAGCTTCTTTTATACATGATACGTGATTTCTGCACGAGCAAACATCGTAACCTGGGGAACAGAGCACATGTAAACACGGCCATTGTGTAGGTATAAAAAAAAAACATTCCACACAAATACACAAGACCAATTTGATAAAGCTGTTCCTTTAGCTAATGAGCTCACTGCAGGACTGGAAACCACAGGTCCGTCCATCTGGGTGACCCCTCGGTTACATAATCACATTCACTTTCCAATGAGGGGAGGTCTGACTTTACAGATGGAAGGAGGAGGTTCCCCCAAATCCATGTTAAACTGAACACTGCAATCATGCTGCAGGAACAAAGACATTTTTGTGCTTCCTCTAGGATGAATGGACCAATTTTACTGCTGCTGGAGTAACTCAGTCTGCGGTGGGTGGTTGGTAGGAAAACTCCAGGGAGACTCGGGATCATGAATCCTGCATTGAGGCAGAATTCTGGGAAAAATGCTCTGCATATGTTTATGCTTACAATCAACGTGACCGCTACGCTTTCTCCTTCCTCTCCGCCTTTTTCCCCAGTGAGCGAAGAAGTGCTGCTTGAAGCAGGAGGATCCAGAGAAGTCACACAATGAAAGGCCCCATTTTACCTGCATCAGTCTCCATCGATTCAAACAGCCCACGAGCTCTTAAGCAAGGCACAGAGGTGACTTCTGACTGAGTGGTTTGCTTTTAGGTCGATAGCGATCAGTTTATGATGTGAACACAGGCTGCAGCGTATTCCTCATGTGCACAACCGCAACCGAAGAGTCATGATTCCTGCATGAGTGTAATAGATCATACAGATGAACATGCATCCTCTGAGCAAGTTACTCCTGATTTAATCTAATTCTTGCTACATATATTCAATTGTGCTTCCTAATCCATAACATAAGTAGATGCTGCAGGTTTTAAGGTCGCCGCATCGCTGTTCTGAAATTTAAGGAAACGCATCTAATACGACACAGATCAGGGTGAGTGTGTGCATTATACGAGTGCACCAGGGTGAGTGAGTCAGTGAGTTTATGGGTTGATGGACATCTGGTTATTATCTAAGTGTGATAACATCAGACCCCCGTGTAGTGAGCTACGTCTCCCGCGGTTAGTCGTGATGGTGACTGTTGCCGCACAGAGTAGTGAAGGACACATTAGCTGTGGCACGCAGCTGAGCCTCTTTCAGAAACCCGCCACTTCCAAAACCACAGGATTCACTACGGCTCGGCGTGCTGCATGGCACGTTTGCAAAATGCATGAAAGATTGGGGCGTTCTTGGAAGCAGCAAAAATCCTGCTGTGGCCACTCTGAACAACATTATTCATGAAATGCAAACTGCTGAACAAACTGGAGCGAGTATTTCATGTGACTCATCGAAACCTGTCCCCGACTCAAAAACTGAGGAGCCGTTCGTTTGAAATGTAAAAGAAGTGTTCAGAGTAATGGAACAGAGACGACAAGAGCACAAAAGAGTGCGAGCTGTGTTAACGCTGCAGTGGCGTCATCTGATCGCATTGGTGCCGGTCCTGGCTAATTTCAGGGTAACATAACAAAGCCTCCTCCCAGTAAACACTCACAGTTCAGCCTTGACTAAAAGCAGAAATGAAAACCAGCCACACAGCGTTGCTCAACTTTTCACACATTATAACAACCACCAAATAATGAGAGGGCCATCTAATGACCACAGTGGGTTTACTCTCAACTAGACTTAATGACATGTGTCTATATTCAGAGCTCCTCTGATATTTCCTGTCGGGGGGATCATCTGTTGACAGCTGAGTATCTATCTAACTTTTCCCCAGGATATTTGACTGCATCTCTCTGCCCCCACCTGTCTCTTGCCCCTGCCCCCCTTGAGGCCAAAACGAGGCCAAAAGCATTGCGTAACACCGGAGAAGGCCGTGCGGGGGGGAGCCACAAAAACAAACCATCTCTGTTTTGAAAAGACAAGTGGGTATATCCACAAACAGAACAGATTCAGAGGTGTGTTAAATGAGCCGCGGCTAAAAGTCGGATCTTTCTGCAAGACGATTTATTCTTAGCCGCTGGGAGGTGTGTGTGTGTGTGTGTGTGTGTGTGTGTGTGTGTGTGTGTGTTGNTGTGTGTGTGTGTGTGTGTGTGTGTGTGTGTGTGTGTGTTGAGTTGGGGGTCTGCAACAGCCAGTGGTGGAAATATGTGGCTCGGTGCCAAATAAGCGGAGTTACATAAGCAGTGTCGATGAGGAGCCACTGGCATTAAGACGTCCCTGTCAACGCCCCTATTATGACAACCAGGACATGGACACGACATGTCAGCCAACATTTACACCAAACCAGCTGGTGTAACTCTGCGGCTTAATACGGGAACGAGAAGCTTGTGCTGCACTGATGTTGCACTCAGAGAGATACAGTCAGTCGGGTCCGGGCAGCGAGTGGTAGAGCTGCAGTATCAGTAGGAATCCACACAGAGGAAAGTAGGGCAAGTGAAAAAATGGATTCAGTGATACAAGTTATTGGCTGCAGGGATGTGTGTTAAGGGTTAGAAGCAGCATTTCATATCAATGTCTTCAACACTTGGACATGCACGTAAGGAATTATGTTCAGTGCAGTGCAGAAAAAGATGAGTCTCATTGATGAAGGATAGACTTTAGCTGGTGTTATCCTCTATGTCTCTTAACGTAAGAACAAATACTCTACATAGTTTTCATGAAGTTCAGAGTCAAGCCCATGACAAATATTGACTCCTTTTGAAAGAGTCAGTATTTCAAACATGTAGTTTTAAGAAACATCCATGTCTGTCCTAACTCATATTGTCTACTACGTGTAAATGTCACGAAGGAATTTAATGAAGAATAGAAATTGTATCATAATCAGAGTATGAATTCTTGAGTTATGGACAAAAACATGTGTTTTGAGGTCACGGTGATATGAACCTTTCACTTCTAATCCGTTCATTCAGAAATTCAAAAACTACCGTTTGTGTACATGGTAATAACAGAGTCTCCCATTCCTGTGTTTTCAATCATTTTCAGTAAAAAAACAAATGTTATCAGTTGCAGCTGTTAAAAGTAGGCAAACACTGAGGGGGACAAGTCAGAACATTTCGTGTGACTCCAGAAATGTTCCAATTCAGCGACCATTCCTCTGAATCTACGCTGGCGTCTGTTTGAGTTCTTTTCAGGACTAAAAGGGCGACAGGTAAACCTTCGCTGCTCCTCCTGTCATGAACTCGTTGAAAGTGCTGCTGGCCGTTCATAACTCCTGCGCTTCAGATGCTGACTGTCAAGAGTCCTGCTGACGAAGACCAGAGTTCACGGAGAGAATGCAGGACAGGACCTGCACAGCGTCAGCAGCATTACCAAACCACTGTCCATCACAGGCGGTGACGACTGACTCGCCGAGCTCCAGGATTGAGGTCAAAGGTAACGCAGGGGGAGAAAGTTCTGACTTCACCCCTCTGAGACTGACATACCTGCCTCCACTGACATAAACACACACGTAGGCACTCACACTGGTGCAGTGTTGCATTTGGATGTTTGCAGGTGAGAACTGTGAGGACAGTGTGCTCCTTCCAAGGAAAGCCCGACGTGTTCTGTAAATGGAGCGGGCAGAGGGAGGTTAGCCATTAATCTCAAAAGGATTGAGGACTCAAACCAACCTCTGACTGCTGCTCTCACTCTGACAACCTGACCTAACTTGTGGCGCCCGGCTAATTACCTGCACAAGTAAGAGAGACCTAGATGTAGGATTACACCATCTCTGATAGGGAGGGGTCAAGCACGTCTTTGTCCATTTAGTCTGGAGACGTTTTCTCGATATGAATAGATTTCATAGTCCAACCAAAACTGGATTAGAGGCAGATTCTACTTATATGACAGATATATTGGGCAACGTTTTTTCTTTACTACAAATGGATGATGTAAACAATCCATCTTAAAACAGATGCAAACCTGAAATCTTCCTCATAATTCCTGATAAACAGTTTTATTACCAACATGCCTTCTCTGTTTCAATATTTTCTATAACTCCACCAAGAATGATTTGTTTTTGTCTGCATTAGTGTGTTTGTTTAACGCAACTGCAAGAAACTATTGTGGAGGGGTTGAAGCGTGATCCAACGAAGAGCCATTGATTTAGATTTTATTTCTTAAACATAAAAAGCATTTTGCAATATTTTCCCAGAGAAAAATTCATGGATCTTGATTTAAAATAATAAGAAATAAGTAATTTGGGGCACATAATTTATTTAAGTGTAGTTTCATGAAGGGACTGCTGGGCCTTGACCGAGTTATGCACTCTAATTGAATGTTTATTTCTGGGTCCTCAAATGTTTTAATCCTGTTCCAACCACGTAAACCACTTTGTAAAGTGTGTTTTGGAAAGTGCCCTATGAATAAAGTTATTATTATAAGTTCTGTGCACAAGTGCGAGCCTGTGTCGTCTGAACTGTACCGAGCTGTTTCAAAAAGCATTGCTCCACCTTGTTTGCGAGCTGGGAGATCTTATATCTTCACTTGTGTTTACTTTGTTATACTTAACATCTTTTAACTGTCTGCTGTTTGCTTTTAGTCCCTCACTGAAACCTCATCTTCTATAAACTGCTCTGCACTTAATAGCACAGTCACTTAAGACTTCCCTTCATATCCTCTTTCCTTTCAAACTGAGCTTCAGATTGTGCAATTACAGTCAGCGGTGACTTTTCCTTTGCTGCTGCCAGATCTACCTCATCTCCTCTCGTCTATAAGCACCATTACATTGTCTCTTGTTGAGGAGCTTGTGATTATGACAAAGACAAAGAATCCTACAGTTGCTGGTAGGTGTGGATAAAATGCTTTAATTGAAAGATGCAATGGTTGAAAGGTCAGCAGAGTTAATGTTAATATGTAAGATGGTTGGGGACTCACCCGGGCTGATCATAAATT